CATTCATTTCACACGCTAGCAAGGTCATGCTCAAGATCCTACAAGCTAGGCTTCAGCAGTATGTGGATAGAGAACTGCCAGAAGTACAAGCTGGGTTTCGAAGAGGTAGAGGAACTAGAGATCAAATTGCCAACATTCGCTGGATTATGGAGAAAGCAAGAGAGTACCAGAAAAAGATCTACTTTTGCTTCATTGACTATGCTAAAGCCTTTGATTGTCTGGATCACAACAAACTATGGCAAATCCTTAAAGAGATGGGAGTACCAGACCACCTCACATGTCTCCTGAGAAACCTATATAAGGGTCAAGAAGGGACAGTCAAAACCGGATATGGAACAACTGATTGGTTTAGCATCGGAAAAGGAGTACGACAAGGATGTATATTGTCCCCTTGCTTATTTAATTTATATGCAGAGTACATCATGCAAAATGCCAGCCTGGGTGATTCAGAAGCCGGAATTAAGATTGCTGGGAAAAACATCAACAACCTCAGATATGCAGACGATAGCACTCTAATGGCAGAAAGTGAAGAGGACCTAAAGAGCCTCTTGCTTAGAGTGAAAGAAGAGAGCGTAAAGGTTAGCTTGAAACTCAATATCAAAAAAACTAAGATCATGGCATCCGGCCCCATCACTCCTTGGCAAATAGAAGGAGAAGTTGTGGAAGCAGTGACAGACTTCACGTTCCTGGGATCCAAGATCACCGCAGACGGTGACTGCAGCCATGAAATTAAAAGACGCCTGCTCCTTGGGAGGAAAGCAATGGCGAACCTAAACAGCATAATAAAAAGTAGAAGTCCGTATGGTCAAAGCAATGGTATTCCCAGTAGTCATGTATGGCTGCCAGAGTTGGACCATAATGAAGGCCGAGCGCCGAAGAATAGATTCTTTTGAATTATGGTGCTGGAGAAGACTCTTGAGAGTCCCTTGGACTGCAGGGAGATCAAATCAGTCAGTCCTAAAAGAAATCAACCCTAACTGTTCCCTGGAAGGCCAGATACTGAAGCTGAAGCTCAAATACTTTGGCCACCAAAGGACAAGGGAGCATGGTGAGTTTGTTAGTATTGTCTTATTTGTTTTATCTGTTTATAACAACAATAAAAATTATTATTAAAAAAATACTTTGGCCACCAAATGAGAAGGGAGCACTCACTGGAGAAGACCCTGATGCTGGGAATGACTGAGGGTCAAAGAAGAAGGGGACGGCAAAGGATGAGATGGTTAGAAAGTGTTATCGATGCAATGACCATGAAATTAAGCAAACTCCGGAGTACGACGGAAAACAGGAGGGCCTGGTGTGATGTGGTCCATGGGGTCATGAAGAGTCAGACTTGAGTGTGCGACTAAACAACAACAACAATTATTTCAGCCCACTTAGTCTTGAGGAAGTCGACAAATTGCTCCTAACTGTACACCCTACCACGTGTTCCCTGGATCCGTGCCCTTCATGTCTAATTAAAGCTGGCCACTAGGGGCTTTGAGGTGCACTGTGGGAGATA